CCCCAAAACCCCAAAACCCCAAAACCCCAACATGGATTGAAAGTTAATTTTGTTATTTTAATGTTTGAATTTGAAATAATTTTATAATAAGGAATTTGAATTGGAAATGGGTCAGTCATTTGCGTGCTGCAGTAATAATAATGTCGATAACAACGATGTCAAAACTAACGACTTCTCCAACAGCCTGAATAGATATAAGCAGGCTGGAGATAAGATACAATAGATTATCAAGCTACAGGCCCTGTTTAGAGGCCACCTCACTAGAAAGAGAGTACTGAGACTAAAGGAATCGACTGGCTATAGACAGGGTGGAATGTTCAATAATCATTAAATGAGTCCTGATGGCGTAAATAACTATGATAACCCAGATGTCATTGTAAGGAACAGATAATTAAATTATGATATAGTAAATCAGAGAGCAGATGGGTGAATTTAATTATGAAATGGAGCCACCAGGTCTAGGCAAAAGAGAAATGAGACAAATGGTCACATTAGAGAATGGTGCCAGATACGAAGGAGAATGGTAACATTATAAGAATTCATGCTGATTTCAATTTAGGCTTGTCAAAACTCAAATCAGATAAGGTCAAGGTATTTAAATCTGGCCAGATGGTTCAATGTATGAGGGTTGGTGGAGAGATAACAAAGCCAATGGCAAGGGTAGACTTATTCATGCTGATGGTGATGTTTATGATGGTCATTGGAAAGATGACAAGGCTCATGGTTTCGGAGTTTACAGCCATTTAGATGGTGCAAGGTACGAAGGAGACTGGAAAGAGGATAAGTAACACGGAAAGGGTCTCGAAACCTGGCCAGATGGAGCCAGCTACGAAGGTGACTACGTAGAAGGCAAAAAGCATGGCACTGGTAGATTCACCTGGGCAGATGGAAGTACATACACTGGTGAATTTTAAGAAAATAATATCGAGGGTCAGGGAGTATACGAATGGTCAGATGGTAGAAAGTATGATGGAGAATGGAAAAACAATAAAATGGAGGGCTATGGAGTGTTCACATGGCCTGACGGCAGAAGATATGAAGGATAATACATTGATGATAAGAAAGAGGGCAAAGGAGTATTTTTCTGGTAAGAATTTATCGAGATTTAATGTTTTTAGGCCTGACGGAAGAAAATACGATGGCGACTGGAAAAATGGTAAGCAACACGGAGAAGGTACGTACACTTCAGCTACTGGTAAAACTAAAAGAGGAGAGTGGGCAGAGGGTAAAAGAATCAACTGGCTCAACTGATTAAATGTTTTCGCATCTTAGTGATAAATTTGTGATGAGTTAGTATTTAAATAAAGTTAAATACTTATTAAGATCGCTTATACTTCATATTCCTTTTCATATTATAAATAAAATAACTCAAAGTCATCAATAGTAAACACTCTTTGCATTCCATCATATAAGAATTAATTTGGACTATTTATACAATGATGAATTGACTTTGCTCATTAAGATAGCCTATTCATATCCTGAAACTACTACTAATTTGTCTGAAACTGCTTTACTTATTCTGTTACAGTCAATTCTTCATGATTAAGATTATGCAGACTCGTCAAATTTTGGATATCAAAGGCATCATCTGTGACTACACGATTTAAAGCATGCTGATGAGCTCTTTATGCGTTTTCTTATTCAGTTCCATTATCGAGCAGATCTCTAATATTTCCAGATCTAAAACCTCGACTATTTTCCTTCATCACGCTGTTTATATCGATCAGTTACTCTTGCGTTGAGTCTCTTCTTACAAAGGATAAGATGCTCTTTTCATCTCTCTCAAAAAAGTTCTAGCTACTCACATGGATATTGGCAGTCATATCTTTATGCATTTTGGTATTGGAAAGAATATCACCTGCCCTCATTCTTTTATTAGATATTGAATCTTTGAATTGAATAACTTCCAAATCGTACTGCTCAGGAGTATCATCCTTTCCTTCTTCGATATCTTGATCATCATCCATTTCTAGTTCATCATGAATATTAGAAGTCATGTCATGCTTTTGGTCCTACATACTTCGATACCTCTGATGGTTAGCCACATTTTTCCTATTCAAATGCATGTTTTGAGTGTTGAAATTTATTCCTGGTACTATGCTCTTGTATTTTTAGTGATTAAGATTATTGGTGTGGACTCTAGTATTTCTATTTTCGTTTATTCTCAAGTTCTCCTCCTCTTCATGATCTAACTAATGTTAATCTGGCTGGTTTAGATCATTAAATATCCTCGGGTTGATTTATCGCCTGACTATTGACTGATGCAGATTCTATCCTTAATGGTCATTTGAGCTTACAGCATCATTACTCTAATGATTGGATTCTTAAAGATTGTTTTGCTTAGGACTTACTGGCAGCCTATATATAGTCTCCTGAATATGATTGATGGCATGCTTACTCTCCTCAGACTCAGCATCCTCATACTATTTTTCATTTACTCTGCCCGTTTACATCTTGCTTATCAGTTATTGTTCATTGGGCAGTTGCAATTTCATATTGCTATTATACTTTTTATTTTGTAATTTATTGGGTCGCTAAAATTCAACTGGAATTCTCCTGCCTGATATTGTCCTAATGTACTCCGAATTTTCATTCATAATTGAACTATCAATTTTCCTGTTCATTCTTTTCTGATTCTTTTTTTAAGATCTCCCTTTTTAATGAAGACCAAAATATATCAAAGTCCTTCCAATTTGATAAAGACTTGATTATTTTCTAGGTTATCCAGATATTGCCAATTCGTATGGTTCTTTAATCTTTATCAAAGTTCCAAATTTGGATCCATTATCTTCAATCACAAGTTAATCTCCTAGTATTCTAATGTAGGAATGTAGTCTTGAGACACTTATATCAGCTATTTTCATATCAGTATCAACACTTCTGCCCACTCTGAACTCGTCTGATTAGTTAAGATAAAACACGTGAATAACTTTTGCGGGGGCACTTTTAACACTTTCCATTATCATATAGTCAGTTTCTGGTTTCTCAAAATCCATGATTTGGAACAATCGATCTTTCAGCTTATTTTCAAAAGGCTGTTTACAAAGTTCGCACTCGAGGGCTTTCCAGAAGAAACTCTTTACTCGATCACCATGATAAACCAATTTTTTGCCATTAAGCCATTCTTTCAAGCAGCTAATATGTATATCTTTCATTGATCCAGAGCAGTTACAGGGACAAAGAAATTCTCCATACTCATCCTCATCTTCACCTAAACATATACGACATACTCTAGCCTGGCTCTAAGTTGGGTTTTTATCCTTGGTCTTTATTGGTGGTCCATTCCCCTAGTTATTGTCATCATTGACTGCTTTACTTATTCCAGGAAGGAATGTACTTTGATTGTAGTTATTATATGAGTTTCCAATGTTATCCATCATATTCATTTCTGTTATATTCATCATTGATACTTATGAGATCTAAATTTTATCTACATTAGCTGAATGAGAACTCATCGCATCATTGTCTGTTTTAGTAGGACCAAGCCCTTAAATATCAGGCCTGAGTTGTTTACTATGCAAGGCAGAAATTTTAAAATTGACTCTTCCAAATTTGATGATGTCTTTCAGCTTGATATATTGGAATGTTGGCTCAGTAAAGAAATTTCTAAGAGTCGAATTCTGAGGTTTGGTTTTTCTTAATACTAGCCACATAGTCTTATTCATTTCTACCTCATTTTCCTCGTCCATTTCATCAAACACATCGTCTAGATCATCCTCCTTCTATTCTCTTAAAAAATCTTAAATATGAGGCTGATGCAACCCCCAAAGTGTTTGACTCTCAGGTTTATAAAGTACTCTCATTACTAAGTTATCAAGAACAGGATTGCTTAAATAATTATTAGACTCAGTGTAATTATCCATAGTAATCTTTGTGCCCTCGACCATAATAGCAACTACTCCGTAAGATTATATCATTTAATTATCTCTTACTATCATCTGTAGTCTTGAGCTAGTTCTAATCTTCTTATTGTCCCAGGGCATTTAATGTGAATTCTTGGTAATTATATGTCTCTCTTTCATATACATTCAAATCAACGCAATCAAAATCAAATAAGCAATGCGATAACTTATCACACGTAAGTGTCTTGATATTCAAGCTACTTTAGCAATGAAAAGGTGTATGCTTACATGTTTGCTAGATTAGAGTCGTCTCGACGGAAACAGCACAATAGCTTTGAAAATTTGCTCTGAGACTATTAATTTTTTACACAACAACGTGATAGTTTGTTACTATTTTTTGTTTTCTTTGACATCATAATTATAATTAAGCAATTAAATTTATATTCATAATTCATAATAACTTCGAACTCATAATTTTACATTAAACTGTATTCGATCTAATCTTCTCATGCTATAGAGTTATCCTTCAAATGATTTTAAACCAAAAAATCATAATGAGTAGTATGCCTGCTATTATTATTATAGCCCCAGTAATGCTTACAGTCCAAAGAATACATCTGCGCCTCTTGAATTTAGTTTTAATCTTCTTAGTATTCTTTAAAAGCAATTTGGCCCTGCTATCAAGGTTTTTGGCTTTTTAATTAGCTTGATCTAGCAAAAGATCTCTATCGTTGAGCAGGTTTAGATTTTATAGCATTTCATCTTTTACTTTTAAAAGGTCCTGGAACACTAGGTAGGTCTTATCACGATTATTAGGGTTATCATTCCATTAAGAGATAAATGAGCTGACTTCTTTGCCATACTTCTTATACCTAGTGGCTTATTCAGGTTCAATCTATTAATCAAGACCTTACAAATCTAAGTTACTATCTATGGCCTCTTTAAGCTTTTCAAGAAAATTAAAGGCTTCATATAAAGTGACATCAGGTTTTTTGGAAATGCAAACTATCACCCAGGTGCCATTATGAATATAATGCAAACAACATTATTCATCTAATTCTAGCGATTTTCTACCAAACATCATGAAGTTCTGGAATTGTTCAAACACCTGTTCCTTGTAATTAGACTTAAATTTCTTCTCAAAACCTTCTAGAATCACCTCTCTTCTTATGTTTACAATACTTGCATAGAGAATTGGCATTTTATAATTAATTTCAATTCATTACTATAATAATATTATTCTATATCACGGGGTTTTGGGGTTTTGGGGTTTTGGGG